TCACCCTAATTTTCCATTTTCTGAACCAACCTACGAGTGGATAATATCAACTTTTCCATATCCAATCTTCATCCCGATTTGTTCAAATAACTCTAGAAAAACGGGGTAAACCGTGACAATTCTTTCCACGAGTGGTTAATATCATGAATTGCAATGTCCTATCTGTCCCTGATTTTCCATTTGATCAATGAATTCTAGAAAACGGAATAAGTTTTGACAATTCATCATGCAATTGGAATATAACCCAAGTTGTCATGTCAAATCTTTACCCAGATTTTCCTTTGTTTAGTTCTAGAAAAACGGGGTTAACTCTGGGAGTTCATAATACCCTTTAGCTCCCATATGCTACCTTTACTCCGAGTTTCTAATTTTGCCAAATCAAATCTTTAGCCTAATTTTCCATTTTTTTCGTTTATTAGAGACAAGTAAGGTAAAATCTGACTATTAATCCCACATGTGGGATAAATCCTTGCTTTTCATAATCAATCTTCACCCCGATTTTCCGTTTGTTGAGTCAATTCTGGAAAAACGGGGTAAAATCTGAGTATTCATCCTGTCAGTGGAATACATCCTAACTTGTCGTATTCAATCTTTGTCCCGGTTCTTTGCATTTGTCCAAGAATTCTGTAAAAATGGGGTAAAATCAGACAATTCATCCTGCAAACATATCCCAACTTGTGATTTGTAATCTTTACCCGATTTTCCATTATTTTCAGAGAATTCTAGAAAAAAAAAATTTATCTCATAAAAAGAATATATCCCAATATGCCAAATGAATTTTTCAATGAATTCTGAAAACGGGCTAAATTGTGTCCATTTATCTTAAAATTGGAAGAAATTATAACTCGGAACATCCCTCATTTTCCGTTTTTCTCTAATTAATTCCAGAAAAACGGTGTAAATTCTGAGAATTCATCCCGTATGTGGGATGCATTCTAAGTTTCCATATCCAATCTTCAACCCGATCTTCTATTTTTATACCAATGAATTCCAGAAAAACGGGGTAAGTTAGAAGAATTTATACCGTAAGTGGAGTTTATCCTAAGTGGTCATATCCAATCTTTGCCCCGATTTTCCATTTTTTAACGAATTAATTCCAAAAAAACAGGGTAAACTCTGAGAATTCATGCTACAAGTGAATATTACCCGAAGTTCCCGAATGCCATCTTTGCTCCAATTTTTCATTTTTTTGTGAATTCTAGAGAACCGGGACAATTTCTTAGAATTCACTCCGCAAGTGGAATATAACCTACCTTGTCATGTCAAATCTTTCCTGATTTTCCATTTTTTAGTGAATTAATTCCAAAAAATTAAACAGGGTAAACTCTGAGAATTCATGCTACAAGTGGATAATACCTGTAGTTCCCATATGCCATCTTTACTCTGATTTTTCCATTTTTTTCAAGGAATTATGGAAAACGGGGCAAATTTTAGTAAATTATCCTCCAACTGGAATATATCCTATTGACCTGCCACATCTAATCTAATTTACCCCGATTTCTCATTTTTTTTCAATGATTATAGAAAAACGGGGTTCATTCTGAAAAGTCATCCTCCAAGTGGAATTTATCCTACTGACTTGTCATATCCAATCTTTACCTCGATTTTCCATTTTTTTTTCAATAATTTCTAGCAAAACGGGGTAAATTCTGAGCATTCATGCTACAAGTGGATAATACCCGAAGTTCCCATATGCTATCTTTACCCCGATTTTCCATTTTTTCTTCCTGAAAATTCTATAGAATAACGGGGTAAAATCTGAGAATTCATCCTTCAAATGGAATAGATCCTAGGTTGTCATATCCAATCTTCAACCCGATTTTCTATGCTTTTTTTTCATTGAATTCTAGATAAACGGGATAAATTCTGCGAATTCATCCCGCAAGTGATAGCAATACACTAAGTTCCCATATGCTATCTTCACCCCGATTTTCCATTTGATCGGTGAATTCGAGAAAAACGGGGTACATTCTAAGCATTCATACTACAAGTGAATAGTACCCTAAGTTCCCACATGCTATCTTCAACCCGATTTTCCTCTTTTTTTTCCATGAATACCAGAAAAACGGGGTAAATTCTGCGAACTCATCCCGCAAGTGATAGCAATACGCTAAGTTCCCAAATGCCATCTTTACCCCGATTTTCCATTTGATAGGTGAATTCGAGAAAAACGGGGTCAATTCTGAGCATTCATGCTACAAGTGAATAATACCCGAAGTTCCCATATGCTATTTTTACTCCGATTTTCCATTTTTTTCAGTGAATTTGACAAAAAACAGGGTAAAATCTGAAAAGTTATCCTCCAAATGGAATAGATCCCAAGTTGCCATATCCAATCTTCAACCCGATTTTCCATTTTTTTCCGATGAATTCTAGAAAAACGGGATAAATTCTGTGAAATTTATCCTTTACGTGGTTTCTATCCTATTGACTTGCCATGACCACCTTTAGCCCCATTTTCGATTTAATCATTGTGTGAATTTGTCATCAACAGGGTAAAATAGGACAAATCCACCCAAAAGTGCGATAAATCCTACAATAATTTAGAAACAGTACTAAAAAAAACAAACAGCTAAAATCAGCGGAACCGCAATAAAATCAATAAAATCCCGAAAATTTGTCTTGTTTCCTATAAACTATTAAATAACTTATGCATTCTTAAGGTAATAAGAAGTTCAAGTTTAAACAACAGTGGATGTTAATCCTCACCTTTCGACTCGAAACCCTCGAGGCCGGTGAATGATGGGGTTTCTTTGAAAAGGTCAATGATTTTAGCAGTTGCCGCCGACGGCATCTTCGTAGCCTCACTTCCTCCAGTTTTTTTCTACTCTTTGGCCAGTTCTGTGAACTCTTTTTTGGGATTTCTAGATTTCAAATTGCTCTGGCAGTAAATATACCATACCCATTATTAAAGATATGGCATAAAAACGTTCAGGATGGATGTGATTATATTGACTTTATCAATGCCACAGTTTCCAGATCATGGTTTAGAGTTAGTCATGAGACAGCCTACCCTGGAAAGAGAACTAGGAATTGTGGCAAAAAAATAAAGACAAACTAAAGGAAGAAAAAGAGAATAGCTTAATTCATAATGTCTCACTTTAAGCATTCCACATAGTGAACAAGTGTCTATTAAGGGAGTGGAAAGGGACCTTCATTTCATTTCACGAGAGATTAGCTTTCAGACTGGAAGAAAAAATATAGTGATCTAGAGGCAGAAAAAGCAAAAGCTGATAAACGAAATGAGGGATTGCAAAGAAATAGAGAGGAAAAAAGGACAGAGGAAAATGAACAAAATCCAACCGATTTATCCTCTTCACTAACAACAACAACGAACTTCTATTTGGCTTGGTTGTTATATCACTTTGACTTGCATTCACTTGAAATTCTGCAACCTTTCAAAAGCAGAAAACCAGGGAAAATAAAAATCAATTAAAATAGAAACCTAAAAGCATTTCTAAGCACACTCAGTTTCATATAAAAACATAATTTAATGTTATTGATGACAAGCATGTTGTACTATGTCTTAAATACATCCAAACGTAAAAACTGTATATCCTTTACATGTATCTCTATCTACCAAATATCAATGCTTCGTTGGTGTTACTAAGAATGTTAAATAGCTAAAGGTTAGGTTGGTAAATGTACTTTACTGCATGCTTTAGTATTAATTGTGAGAGATACCACCTCAAGGGATACTGTTGGTACTTGAGTAAGTTTCCCTACTAGCATAATGAAATTCTTTGGTCAGTTTCCAGGGTAAGCTTTCATCTTTAAAGGAAAATCAATAGCCTTTCCCTGGCCATGAGCATCCGAATATATACTACCAATAATAGGGTAGAGACAACTTGTTAAAATCCTTTAAGCTGAGCATGGTGTATTTAGAGTCCCTCGATGATATTCCTTTGAGTTAAATAATATCAATAGACATCCTGTTTTATGTTAAATGTGCAAGTGTGCTGCACTTTGACAGCATTTGATTTTAAAAGTAACTTGACTGCCAGATAAAAGCCATCAGATACTGGAGCAATTTCACTTTCTGAGGGCTGTGGAGGCTTGTTAGTAAGTCTAGAAGAGATTCAGAAAACAGATTTATTAGAACAAAAACAAATCGTTTAACACAATCCTAACAAATGGGTTATACATTTTTCAGCTTCTATCAAGTATTATTGTGATAAAAACAAGATATTTTAAACGTTGGAAGCCAACTAAAAAGTCTGTCTTGTTCTGAAGGCACCATATTAACCTCAACATTTTTAAGTTTTCTTTATATTTCAACATAAATTGGAAAATTATGTTGTTGCAGTAATAGTTCATCTCACCTGATAAGCTCTTTAGATAGATGGAGGGCAGGGTCCCAGGTACATGATGACATGGGCCATCCTTTCCACTTGATAAGGTACTCTATCTCCTATGAGAAAATAAGTAAGAAGTGAAACGGTCGGCTGAAGACAAGCCTTAGAACAGCAGGTTTTAGAGAGGCATTAAGTATTTACTTTGCCGCTTTTCCGCTTCGAAAGCAGTCTTTCGACTTGAAAAATCCTAGATTTGGGTTCCTTTTCATTCAATAATTATCCGTTGTAGAGAATTCGTAAAGCGCTTTGTAGTCATTCTGTGTTCATTTCCTGCTCTCTCCGTCCGCCGTCTTGTTACACACTCTAAAGCATGCGCAAAATGTCCGTGATTTCCAGGGACCGCGCAACAAGTTTTCGAGTGGGGGGCTAAAGAAGAATGCGTGAAGGAAAATTTTTTTGTTAAATTATTTTTTGTTTAATTTATTTTTATTCTTGCAAAAAAGTGGGGGGGCTAAAGCCCCCCCAGCCCCTCCCTCTGCGCGGTCCCTGATTTCTGGTAGTGCAAGACGATTCGATAAGGCCTAACTAAGTAAAAGAAATTACTAAGCAAACAACTGACAGAAACGCGATATGAAAATCAGCATTTTGACAATTTGCTTTCTGCTCTTGTGCATTGGGATTAATCCGATTTTCTCGTGGAGATGAAGACGAAGACAAAGCCCACCACCATGCAATCGGGTAAAGTGTCAGGTTGGAAGCTGGAGTGTTTGGAGTTCTTGCTCCCATCATTGTGGAACGAGTGGCACGCAAAATCGCAGGCGACAAAAAACTTCTTCCACGCAGTGCGGTGGACAATGTCCATATGATTTGGTGGTGTGGCGATCTTGTAACAGGGGTAACTGCCATGACGGCGGCACCCCGAATAGTGGCGGATGTAGTTGCCGATTGGGATACGAAGGAACATGTTGCCAGAAAGGTGAGTCTCCTTCCTGAAAAAGTTGGCGTATTCAGGCAGCAAAATGGACCAATTCCTCGGAGTGAGCATCTTGAAGAAGTTAGTTTAGACTATTTAGATTCATAATTTGCGATACGTTGATCCTTTATGGTGTACAATTGCTTCCAAAACGCGTGTTTATCTATCTTACTAAATCGAGTTTTCGTATACCTCTTCGGCCGTATAGCATTCTGCTGTTTCAGAACTTAGTTTGTTATGAGTAATTGTTGTAAATATAATCTCCCAGAAATTTCCATGCTGACTCATGCTGACTTGTATACCATAGAACTTTCCAGAACATTTCATCAAGTCACGTATTTATCATGTAATCCTACTAAAATAGTTCTTACGTAAGCTTTTAAAATGATCCAGAACACTTTGTGAATAAATACATATAAAGACTCGCTTACATGGTAGCATCCCATCACATCACATTACCATTATTTCACCTCGAATTTACAAGAGTAGCTGTATAGCTAATTGAAATAAACATGAAATCGTATATTATATACAGTATATTAACTACAATCTACAGTGGTTGTTATCGTCGGAGCGACGACTGTTTCGAAAGCTATACCGAGAGAGAGTTACTGCGAAAGATTTCTCATTTCAAGGAACTTTGGGAGACAGCCGTGAGATTGTGTCAGTGGTGAGCTAAGATATAGACTGTGGTAGGCGTAATTAAGTTTATTGACAGTAAGTATTGTACTACTTTTAGAAGTCGCTCCTTGTTAAGAACATTACTCGCTGTTTAATAGAGTAGTTGTTTTTGTGGAATTGAAGCGTTTTTCTGTCGGTAAGATTATACCGTAACAGGTTCAAATTATCGCATAGAGATCCTTTTGTCCTTTGGAAGGACGAAAATCGTATGCCTGTTTGTTTTCACCAAGCCATACATTCTACAGCCTTTTTTGACAAGGTTGAAAAGGGTAACAGATTTCAGTGAATCACGTTACAACGTGATTTTTGTTCTAAAGGGTATATTCTTACTGTGATGTTGCCCCAGGAAAACTCTTGGAAAGTTTTGGAATTTAATAAACTTGAAGAAAAGACTGTTCAGCTATTTTAACTATTTAGGAAAAACTCCAAGCAATTCAAGGGTATCTATCAGGACTGGTAAACATTCGGACTCCTGGAAGAGTGGAAAACGCATTAAATGGACATTCCCAGCCAAGTTACTTGAATTCGAGACCAATAAGGAATGAAGTTATCAAATCGGTATTTTTTCTGTGTCAAATAAAAAACCAGAACACGCCATCAAAGTTGACTTTCTTTCCCAACACTCGAAAATAAACAAGTCATTCTTGGTTTTCTTTAAGGCGAAACAACTCCATTATTGTCCACGATCGTTCAGTTGAGATTGCTAGATATCAGCCTTGGTTTCTTTTTTCCGTCTTTATGTACCTCAACTTAGCGTCGGTCCATGAAAACACAAGAAGAAGAGACCTCGACTAATATCCAGCCATCTTGACCTCACGCTTGATCAATAACGCATTTCTAATTTATGAAATGGAAACTGGTGTTTTTAATTTTACTATTTCTTTACGAGATACAAGTAATTTGCAAGTTTTCGCTCATGAATTGAAGATCTGCATATTTCCTTTTTACTGTATTTCAACAGACGTTGATGAGTGCATCAACAATCCATGCCAACATAGCTGCATCAACACACATGGCAGTTACACATGCAAATGCAATTCTTGCTACACCAAGCTGGGTACACAATGTGACTTGAGGCAGTGTAAGATCAATAACCACTGTCACGCGTATGGTACAGTTAACCCTAGCAATCAGTGTCAGGTAACATTTCTATTACTGTATAACTTTTTATACGTATTGTTCATCGGATAGAGGGAGAGAAATGTAATTTATTAGCGTGGGATAACATCTTGATAAAATCTAAAAGCTTCAAGGAAAACTTATGACGTCCACAAGGGAAGATTTAATTGTAATTTTTGCACTAAAAGGTCAACACAGGTCAAGACTGCCAGACGTTATATAGTAAAGAATACAGTTTCACTGATAACTCCTGAAAATGCCTATTCTCCCTAAAACTGTTACTGGAAAAATATTACCCTCTCTATCTTGCGATTAAGTCCATGAACTCCTCAGTGTTTCGCTTGCCCGCTAAACAAAGGTAACCAACTTCTTCGTGATTCAACTGATTAATGTTACTGAATCGTGTTTTGTTGTTGGATAGGATTGTAACGACTGCAACAAGTTCACCTGGACAAACAACGATAATTTACCATGCGCCGACGGCATAGCGTGCACTATAAACGATCGCTGTTCTAATGGGGTTTGCTCAGGCACGCCTTTCTCGTGTCTCACGTGCGTGGAGTGCCACAATGACGTGTGCCGCGTGAAAACAGGATACTGCGTAATCAACGAAAGCGGTATACGACAGTGTTTCGATCACGGTTCACTAAGACCAGGTCATCAATGCCAGGTAATATGGTTGGCAGCCTCGTGTCTTTCATAAAATTAATATAGAACTTCCTGTAGGAATAACAATGAAGCACTGTGGGAAGAAGGAAAAATATGCATGAATACTGAATCCTCTTGTGGAGACCAAATGAAGGGATGATATTATTGACTATGTATAAGAGGGCGAATAGAGGAAGGCAAAATTTATCAATCAGAGTCACATGGAAGGTCGGTTTGAGTTTCAGGTTGTAATTTTTTTGCAGATGAAACCATCGAAATGCTATTTCTCACACACAAAAAAGAATATACTAATATAATAATAATTCAATAATTTATAGACTTATATTGCGCAATTATCAATATAAGAATTTTCAATTGCGCATTACAATTAAATGTTAAAAATTAAACCCTATATAGATACTAAAAACTAAAAAAATAATAAAAAATAAATTAAAAAAATAATTTAAAAAATAATAATGATAGTAAATAAAAATAGAAATAAAAATGTTCACTAAGAAGATCTAAAAATATGAATCACTTTGACGAAGGGCTAACGCTCGAAACGTCACCTTTAGAAACTCTTTCGTGTAATTATAACCAGAATTATTATGAGTTGTTAAAATGATAACATATACACAAATGATACTTGTTTTATTCATGCTACTCTTGATCTTCTTAGGAATGTGACAGTAACCACAATGATAGATGGACCAACAACAATAACCTTAAGTGCAACGACACTAATCTGAAGACAAAAGACGACCGCTGTTTGAGTGGCACGTGCGTGGGAACGCCCTACAACTGCCTGTCCTGTAAAACACATGACGGCAGCGGCTGTCCAATTGAGCCTGGATATTGCATAATACAACAGGAGGGGCAAAGAAAATGTTACAACGAATCACTTCAAGCCAGGAAATCCTTGTCAGGTACGCCACCGTTCAGAATAAGACTTTTGTTTGTTTGTTTGTTTGTTTGTTTACGATCAATTGAAATGAATAATATTTTGAACAGTGAATATTATTTAAAAAAAGAAATGATCCGCAAAGGTGAGCTGCAATAAAAGAAATTGGAGAGAGAAAGTTAAAAAAAAGGCTTGGAAAGGACTTGAACTTGTCCACAAACATTATAGATACGATAGACCTTCGCGGGTGTCCTTCGCCAAAAAAAAAAAGGATTAACGCACTATTTGAAGTATGATCCCTCATAAACTATATATCAATGGAAATGTTATGAAAAAAAATTGGAATTGCTAATATTTTCCAATTTGTATCTCAATCTTAACGTGAATCAATCTGAGAAGATAATGGAGAGACCATTTGTTCTGCCTGAAAGGCTCAATCAAGCTCTTGGATTTAATATTCTGTTTACAGAGATGCGACACTAGTAAAAATGTAAGTACCTGGTCAGACAATGATGGGGTAGCGTGCAACGATGGTGACCGCTGTACTCGAAATGATAATTGCAGTAATGGTAAGTGTAGGGGCACACTTTTCAGTTGTAACTCTATATGTCACTACTGTAATGGGAACAGTTGTGGCCTAAAGACTGGGTGTGGATTTTCCAGCAGCAAATGCAAATGTAAAAGAATCGGTGAGACCTTTTGTTTAGCAAACGAAAATCATACATGTGAACCGCGGATTAAGAAATGAATATGAAAGGAATCTTTGCGGTAATGAACACCACACAAGCAGCAGTGAAACATAAGCCAGCTCTCAGGCTAGTTAGCTCGGTTGGTAAAGCACTGCACTATAAGTAGTGTTCATTTCTGCGAAGATAGCTTTCATATTCATTTCTCATTACGCATTTCACATACATGATTTTCATATATTCACCAATCATTAATACTGAGCTTATTCTTTTTCTCATTCATTTAAGGTAATTATGCTTCTGTTGTAATACTAAAAGGGCCCATATATAAATTATAAGACAGCTTTTTAAGGGGAAAAACCAATCTTTAATTTCAGGCCAAGACTATGACCATCACGCTTTACATCCATCAAATCCAAATGTAATGTAAATCCAAATTCTGCAAGGTCTTATAATGGCTTCTGTAATCAATTAGCATGTCACTCATGCTGATAAAAGGTAGTCTTTCTGCCTTCTGCGCGTGAATTCGGCTTCATACAACCAATCCTGAACGGTTTAATGGTTCAAGACAAACGGATTTACCCACTCTATATACGCCATGATATCCCTTTCATTGGTATTACTATTTCATGGTAGCGATTTTTTTTTCGCCTTAAAAGGTAATCTTTCTGCCCTCTGCACACGATTTCGTTTTCATACAAACAATACCGAACGATTAAATGGTTCTTGGCTAACAGATTTATCCACACTATGGGCGCCATTATATCCCTTTCATTGGTATGACCATTTCATGGACGCGGTGTTTTCTTATCTTCGCCTTTAGCGATTTTCGAAGTGGCAGACCATTGTTTATTACAAGACTAAACATTGTGGCAGTCTAACTTTATCACAATGTTTGGCTATTCAATTTTTGTCTTTAGAGTAATGAAATATATGATGTAAATGTCAAATATGAATGAATACACCCAATCTTATTTTATTCCGGCAGGAATGTTATAAAACTGGGGAATGAAGTCACTTTGGGAGACGTAAAAGCCAAAATGTTATATAAACCATCTTATAACGTGTTGGAATGTTCATAGTTTGAAATTTTAAGATAAAATTTCAAAGTTTTTCATTAATTTCTCTACTCTTAGCATCTTATAAAGTTGAATTCGGAAAACATTTATAAGAATCTAGAGAGGGACCGGTAATTGCTGCACGATAAAGAGAATCTTTTCACTTTCATTTCATCATACCATTCACTTAACCTGCAAGGCTTACTCATTTTAAAAGTTACAATTATCATGATTTTGATACGATTTATTAACGTTTTTCCCTTTTTATAAGGTCTGAATCTACTGCTGTCCAAACTGTTAATAAGTTATTGATGTAAACTGACTCAGTCGATTTAGTTGCCAAGCCGGACGAGGAAAACAAATTTAGAAATCTTCATAGCTAGCTTCATTTCTCTTGGGTCAAGATTAGATGCCAGGAAGGAAAGAAAATGGAAAACAAGGGCTTTTGAAAGTTTTTAAATCATTCAAAATCAGGTTCAAACTTTTACCAAAATTTGAATTGTCTTATTTCAGTTAGGTCTCGGCGAGTCTTGCTAAGGTCAAGTTTATCTTCAAAATTAGTTACTTTACAAGTTTTCAAAAGTCAGTGCCTGCTATGCAGTTTTTTAATTTCAAATCATACCCTGTGACTAAAAGAAAAATGTAGATTTAAGGCTAACTCGTATTTTCGCGTTATTGGGAGTTCTCATCCACAGGACTTTGATGCAATGATAACGTCTGACAGGCAATATGTACCTAGGACACCAATAACACGTCTAGTAAAGAACAAAGAGTACCAAAGCTTCCAACCTATCGTTTGGCCCGAAAAGTCCGTATCCTATGTAAGTCGCCATATGGAAAATCGTGCCGGAAGAGGAATACTCTCGAATGACAATGATAGTTGTGTACCATAACAGGTAGAGAAAGATACATCGTAGAATTTTAAATTTGTTTGCCAGATCCTTATCTAGTCAAGTGTAAAGCGATTCCCTAGCATGAATATCAATGCTCACTTAGAATTTTGATAAGGTTTAACCAGGCACTTTTAATCCCCACGGTATATAACGCTTTTCATTTAACTAATTTATTCGTTTTTTTCTCGTTACCATGTTCCCAACAATAGCGTTGCTTCATTTTCATGCAAAGAAAACTGACACAATCCAAAGCTCTTCCATTTGCTTTGAAGAAGGGCTAACGCTCGAAACGTTATCTTTAGAGACTCTTTATGGTGGCCAATTTACATCATCAACTCAGTTGATTATACCAATTTATCATTTTATACCCCTCGCCCACGCAGCACCACAGTTTCTTATGGAACTTACCCCCCCTCTATTCGAACAATTTTGCGTGTGTGGAAGTGATTATTGGAACAGTACTCAAGTCATGTGACAAACGCTCACTTTCGCTTTTCGGAAGTCTCTTATCACTTAAGGTAAATTTGGTGAAGTGTCTGTAATGGTGAATCTTAGACATATAATTTTTCATGAACAGCGTCATTCTTTTGTCTCAGAGCAACAACACTCCACAACATGGCTTAAATGATACTGTGATCGAGCTCTACCCTTTTAAGATCTTGCTTAGGAAGTTTCAGGTATGAATACGGAATAAGCTAATATTTCACATAACATTTACTCAACCTCTGGATGCAATGTCAACAAGAATGTTATGTGGGGATCGATAAAGATATCTGGAAATAATACCGTAAATGTTCTCTTCCAATTTGATGAATTCACAGAAAAGGGTGATAAGAATCCCCTCAGAAGCAGAAAAAAAAACGAATTGAGTAATCCCGAGTAGATTCGATCGCATTTTAAATGTAACATTTTTTACTCAAAAGAAAAAGAAATAAAAAATTAAATCCCTAAAGTTCACTCAATTATGGCGGTATTCTGCTCCACTAAACCTTTTTTGAGAGGTATTTATGAATGACAAACAATAAAAATGTTTTGTTTACAACAGGAAATGTAAGATGCTTTTTCAGCCATCTGTCTCCTTCAAACCTTCCGAGGGAACTCTACGACTCAAGAGGAATTGCTTCGGTAGCTGACTTCCTTCCCCTTCCAGGGCTGTGACTTTGATACTTTCACAAAGCAGACAGCTAATCTCAACAACAATTTTGAGTGCAAGAATATTGGATGAATGAAAATTCGTTTATGAGCTTTTTTTAATTTGATTTAAACTGAAAAAAAGGCAGTGAATTTTGCTAAATGAGAAAATTAAAGCGACGGCACGTGTAGAATAGTTTTTCAATAAAAGTTACTAGCATAAATAGCTCACCAGCAAAACGTTTTTACGAGACATTTTCTTAATTACAAGTTATTACCAGAGTAATAATATATTTGATACCAACAATTGATTTGATATGAGACATTAAATAATAAAAAAAGGCAAACAGGTTACAAAATACAGAAACTTATCTGTAATGGGCTGGTGAGAAACTAAATTTTGATGGCTTCTTATGAATCAGATCTAATTTGGTTGACTTGTTAAGACAGTTATTCTTTGATTGGTGTATGATTGATTTAAATTCTAGATATGTTTAAAAAAGAAATACATATATATACATATTGAAAGGGAAGTGATGTATTTAAACCCAGTCTCTAAACAAATTCACAAAGCCCGTACCTTTTATGTACGTTTGTACATAAACATACCATAGCTTAACTTTAAGTAATAGGCCATTTTCGATGTATTAAAATTCCAACATGGCTCCGAGGCTAGGGGGAATAAAACAAAAGATATGAGTTATCTATTCCTCAACCACGATGTAATTTCCTTTGTTTTATTCCCCCTAGCCTAAGAGCCAAGTTTGAATTTCAATACATCGAAAATGACCCATTAGATGAAGTTGGACTTGAGGACCCCCCTCCCCCACTTCCATATTGCTTCGAAACTGAAGTCTTGAATAAGGTTTGAATGTTAGCAACGCGCAGCATTTGCGATATTAGTATTCTTTCAAGCTTTTGGCCCTCTTAGGGTCAATTTCTTGAAGTAAGTTCTCCTTACGGTCGCCATTCCTTTCCAGCAATTTTACCTATTGACGTTTTTCTTTGTTTTAGTCACAATTGGGCAAAGACAATTGATTAATATTAAAAGGAGATATCACCCATTGGTCACCTCTGACAGGGATGGATTTGGCATCATAAAAGTCGATAAGCCACAATTTAAAAAAGTTTTTTCTTTATTGCCAGGGTGGTGCAATAGCATTTGTCTTAAGGAGATGAGGGTTTAAAGGTCTTAGTTGCAGACCACTACCCAAATTTTCTTTCCGAATCCCCCTCCCCAGAGCACTCTCTCTACTAACTCGTTACAAAAACCCTATATTTATATTCGACTAGCATCCTCACATGTCTTCCAACAGAGGTCCAGCCACCCCCTTGTGGAGCAGAGGTCAAATCTCAGCACTGCTTGGCACTGCTTGCCGGAGTACTTATCTCTGTGACACACTGTCTCTAACACAACATCTGGTAAAAAGTCATATTGAATGAAAATACGTTCGGTGTTTTTCTCACAAGATTGGAGATGATTTTTTTAAAAGCGTTTGAATACGAATGGCTTTAAGGGGGGCGAATGATTGCATCGATGAATGCACGGCTAGAATAACGTGAGTATTTTTAAAATAAGCATTTGCATGGTCCAGGTCTTACAGTAATTACTAAGAAAAGGCAATCGTTGATTTTCTCAAAGGCACCTTAATGTTTAAAAGATGCTCTTTCCTTTTATGGGTAAATGGGGAGAAATAATACTGAACACAAGTAGAAGTCATATATATTGGCACAAGCTCCCCTTGGCTTCTTGAAGGGGGGGGCCCAACCAACCTTCTTTTTCAGCTCCCTTATGAAGGAAAGCTTGTTAGAATACAATTTCTTCCGCTAACTCTAATCCACGTGAAAGCGTGCATTTCTGAAAATGTTCGCCCTAAACAA